TTTAAAAGCAATAAAATTACAGCTAAATAAACAAAACTTTGTCATAATAAAACATCAATACAGACGACATTAAAATCAAAAAGTGGAAGTTAAATATTTAAATACAATAGAATGATGTTGAGTCATGACTTTTATAAAAGCAAATATTTTTAATTTTACTCCAAAATAAAAAATGATGCTGAAATAATAAAAAACTGACATACAAAAGAACAAATTCCGTAAACAAACAGTATTTTAATTCTTTTTTTTTTGAGTGTAGTTTGAAAGAAGAAAATAATTATAATAGATATTAGTGTAATGATTTTAGTTGTTTTTATTGTTACTTCATTGAAAGATTTATTGATGGTTATTTTTAAACAATGACTTTTTCAGTTATATAATTCAAAGATATATATACGTTTAATTGATCTGTAAATTCATTCATCAATATGCACTCTCAAAATATTTCTTTATTTAAAGATATTAATGATATTTCTAAAGGATTGTCTGACCAGTTTAGAAATATTATCTCCAAATGCACAAAACCCCATTTTATTTGTATTTGTGGTGATCAATATATCGATGAAAATACTAACATACATCAAATCATTAATGGTATTTCATCAAATGATTACCTCAATGCACAAGAATCATTGAAATCTTCAAATAAGATTTCCACATCAGAATCAAATAATTGTAATGTTATTGGACCAATTCTTGTAAGTGATATTGTAAAAAGAAACAATTTAGAAGAACAAGAATTTCAACAAATTTTAAATGATGAATTATTCTTTATTGAAATTGAAAAACATAAACTAACTTCAAGTACAACACCGAATAATATTGTTGAAATTCTTTCTATTCTCCAATTATCTTCTATAAGAATTATTTATAACAACAATGAAATAAATGCAGGTATATTAGAGGATATATCATCATTTGATTATCCTTCTTGTTTATTAGAATTACAAGGAATAAGAAAAGAAGGGAAAAGAGTCATTTGTATTTCACCAGATATTCAAACAATTACTGAAAAAGAAAATGAGACAATTCTCAAAGAGTCTGTCTTAAATAAACAAAAACATATAAACAACGATCTTGTACATTTCTTCTCTACAAAATCACATCAAACAAATTGTTTGTGTTTCTTACTTCCATCATATTCTCATCCTTCTCCAAGTCAAATCGTTTGTAATATTTACAAAGAACAAATGAAATGTATCATTTCAGAAATTCTGCATGAAATTCCACTAAATTGTAAGTCTGGTTCATATGTTCTTTCTTGTATAGAACTTCTTATTGAGCTATTCAAATCAATAAATGAATTAAATATAAATACCATCTCAAATGAAATACAACGATTATTCAAGAAAAAATATGTCGAAACTATTAGTTCAATAAATATCAAATTAGTTGGAATGATTTATGAAATGAATTTAAATGAAAGAATAAATGTTATTGAAAATCAATCAAAGATAAAGAGTCGTGTCTATCAAATCATTGAAAATGAATTTATTCCCATCTGGGATATATTGCATATCATTTATGGAAATCAACTCATTAATGAATTGTTTGATTCTATCTCCATCACTTCAAAACATTTAGAAGAGTTTATCTTGAAAGAGATTCAAAAGATTATTGATGATTTGATTCATTGTAATGACTTTAGACTAACACCAATGTGGAAGTATCTTACACAACTACAAATCAAAGAACAATTTGAACAAGAGAATTATAACACAATAATTAATAATTACTTGGCACAAACACTTACATCAAATCAAAAAATACTTCAATTCTATTCAAATAAAAAATGTACAACAGTCAATGAAGTGAAACATCAATGTATTGATACAATCACGTTAAAAACTAATGAAATATTAAATGGAAAACAACAATGGAGAGATGTTTATATCACAGTCAAGAATTATTACCATAATTTAATCAACACCATTGACAAAGAAGTACAAACAAAAGAACTTTCCACTGTTCGTCAAGTAGAATTATGTCACCAATACTATCTTGGTTTATTTACAAGTAAGAGTGAAACATACACAACACAACATGAACAAATAATATTCAACAAAAATGATTATAATGACATTCTTCAAGATGCACTCAATGAATTGAATGCATTATTTGATAAGAAAAAACAAATTGCACAATCATTAGAACAAACCCATCTTAAAGAAGAATTAGAACAGAAGAAAGAAGCATTTATTAAAAAATTGACAAGTAAATCATATTATATTATGCCATGTTGTACAACAAGATATGTCCTTGATGCTAAATATTCAGACTTCACAGATGGACAACCAATCACTTTATATTGGTCACATGGTAATCAAAATCAAAGTTTCCAATTTATTCAAAAAAATAATTTATTCCAAATAAAAATAGGACATAATGGATTTTTGGTACATAGAAATGACTCATCAGAAGGAAGTGTTATTCATCAATGGAATGACACAACCAGCATTAACTCTTTATGGAAAATTATTGAAAATCATGATGGAACTATATCCTTTTTAAGTGCAAGTAATGAATCTCTTGCATTTACTGCTGACTCTAATGAACTTATATCCCTTTGTCATACTTGCTATTTCACTTGTTCTGATTACCAAAAATTCAAGCTCTTAGAATCTCCATTAAACAACCAACCAATCCCTCTACCTCCAACAAATCAAGAAACACCAAACCATCAAACTCAATTTTTCCAAATTCCTAAATATGTTGGTCCTTCAATTGTTGAAGCTTTAAACAATATTCATGTCGATAGTTCATTTTCTTACAGAGAAAGAATTGCACAAGTTAACAACATTCAAGAATATCATGGAAGTGCTTATCAAAATGATTATATGAGAAAGTTGTTATACCAAGGGAGGTTAATAAAACCATAGTCACAAGAAGTAATGCTTAATTAAAGAATTGCTTTGTCTTCTCCTCATTTTCTTTTTAAACCAAAAAAATAAGAATGAAAATTAAAATTAAAAGGTTTTTGATAAATACGTCAAGACAGAAAGAATCAACAAAATAACAAAATCAAACAAAAAAAAACATAATACTTAAAAAAAGACAAATAATTTAATTTTATAAACCATTTGAAATACATTAAAAAAAAACAATAAAAAGGAGTTGAAAGTCAATCTTAAATACAAAACATTGAACTTAATTTGTTAATTTTGAAAAACACTCACAAATGGTTGAAGCTGCTATGAAAGTAATGAATTCATTGGATTGTCCACATGGAGAATATATAATTCTTGACTATAGTCAAAATAAACTTGTATTTAGAGAAAGAGGAAATGGGATAACTGAATTAAAAAATGCTCTTCATGATGATCAAGTTTCATTTGTTCTTCTTGCACTTCGATTAGAATTACAAGGAATTCCTGATCAAGTTCGTTTGATTTTTATGCATTGGAAAGGACCAGCAGTCAAAAGAATGGTAATGGTTAAAGCAAATCAATTTGTTCAACAAGCACTTGAAATTCTTTCTCCAAATCATGGTCAACTTGAAGTTATTGGAAAGAATGAATTTACTGAAGCAATCATTTCAGAAAAATGGAAGCCATCAGCAGGTTCTCATGTAATAAATTAATTCAATTTTTTTTTTCTCACTTCCTTTTATAACAGAAAGAATGAAAGAACAATAAATTATTGATTTATTCTATCAATAACTTTTTCAATAATTAATCGTGCTATTTCACTCTTCAAAAGTACTTCAGTTTCTTCAATACCATCTTTTGTGATAAAAGCAACTTTGTTTGTTTCTCCTCCAAATCCAGCTCCTTTAACATTTAATTGATTTGCCACAATCATATCACAATGTTTCTTTTTAAGTTTTTCTTGTGCATTTTGAATCAAGTCTTGAGTTTCCATAGCAAATCCAACAATAATCTGATGGTCATTTCTTTTATCTCCTATTTCCTTTAAAATATCTGGATTTTTAACTAATGTTATTGTTAATTCATTCTCATCTTTCTTAATTTTTTGATTAGAAATATTCATTGGACGATAATCTGCAACTGCTGCTGACATAATATAAATGTCAACATCTTTCTCTTTCATAACTGCATCGTACATTTCAATTGCTGTTTGTACATTAACAATACTAACTCCACTTGGTTTTTGTATTGTTGTTGGTCCAGTAATTAATGTAACTGTTGCTCCAAATTGTTGTGCTACTTGAGCAATTGCATACCCCATTTTTCCTGTTGAGTGGTTTGTAATAAATCGAACTGGGTCTATTGGTTCAATTGTTGGTCCAGCAGTAATGACTATTTTCTTATTAAGAAGTGGTTGGATTGGATGGAGTTGTTGGTCAACAAATGTAAGGATTGAATCAACAGAAGCTAACTTACCATCTCCAACATCACCACAAGCTAATTTACCATATGAACTGTTAATGAATGTAACACCAAATGACTTAAGAATTTGTATATTTCTTTGAGTGATTGGGTTGTGAAGCATTGTGGTGTTCATTGCTGGTGCAATTAATTTAGGACATGTTGCTGCAAGAAATGTTGTTGTTAAAAAGTCATCTGCTATTCCTGAAGCAAGTTTTGCAATAATGTCTGCTGTTGCTGGTGCAATGAGAAATAAAGAAGCTGAGTGTGCCAATGAAATATGATGAACATCATATTCATTTGGACGATCAAAACTGTCAATAATACATTTGTTGTGGGTTAGTACTTCAATAGTATAAGGTTGAATTAAATGAAGTGTGTTTTGAGTTAGTGTTACATGAACATCATATCCTCTTTTTGTAAGTTCATTTGCAATGTAAATTCCTTTATAAGCAGCAATACTTGCAGTAATACCGAGTATGATTTTGTTGTTAGTTTTCATTGAATGACTTTGTAGTTGATTAAGTCGATTATAAATACAGTAAAAGAAGGATTTTTGTTATTTTAAGTGATTATTATGTTATTGAAGAATTAACACAAAATAAAAAGAAAATAAATAAGTTGAAAGGAAAAAGGGTGTAGAACTATAAAATTCATATTACTGGAACAGTCATGGGAGTGTTTTTCAATGTCATTAGACCAATTGTTAGTCTTATTCCAACAATCAATGAACCAACTAAAAAGATTGGATTTAAAGAAAAATTGATGTGGACAGGAATCACATTATTAGTGTTTCTTGTTTGTAGTCAAATTCCATTAATTGGAACAGACATTGTAGGAAATGATCCATTTTATTGGATGCGTTTAGTTATGGCATCAAATACTGAAAATCTCGATTTGTTCATACAAGAAATGTGATATAATTATGTTTATAAAAAATGTGTTTCCTGATGAATTGTTATAACCGAGGAGATAAATTTAGGCATCGACACAATCACAAGATATAGAATATATGACATAGTCTATCACTCAACTCTATAATTACAATTTTTAAAGAATGAGGACGATAATTATTAATGAAGAGACACTCATCTAAAAGACAGGGATAATGTAACGAAAATCATGAAACGCCATTGGATGGGTGGACAAAGGAAGTTAGCAAAAAGAAAGAAGGATATGAAGTTAGAGATTCAACGAAATGTATTTGCACAGTATGAAGAAGAAAATCAAAATGCTGTTGAATATAAAAAAATTATAACACAAGATATTGTTGGATTACTAGGTTCACTCGATTTAGATACAATCAGAAATGATCTTCAGGAGCACAGCATTGAAATGTGTGGACAATTAAAGAATGATTTAACAAAAAAGAAGAATGAAGAAGAAAACAATAATGATGAACAAAATATGATTTCTTCAACAGAAGATGATAATGAAAGTAATGAAGAAAGAGATAAAAGTGAAGGAGTTGATAAGGAGGTTATTTTAGAGCCAGACGATTTTATTTTGTAATTTGACGATCAACTCTACAAAGAAAATAATTTCATTTCAAAAACTCATGTAGTATGTTCAGTATTGTGAATTTATCACGAAATAGTATGTTTAAGCATAGGATGTTGTTGGTAGACATTTTAGAATTATTTTAACACATAGTTTAAGAGCGATTATCAGTTTCTGAAATAATAAGATTTTATTTATTCTTTTTCCCAGAATTGTTCTATAGTCATGAGTCTGTTAATAGACATATCATTATTTAATCATTTTACTATATTCCATTTGTTATTTGTTTTTGCATATATTTTACTTTCTTTATGGAACTAGATGGATATTCTTCACAGTTGTACCATGTGTGAAGCATATACCTTAAACAAATCAACATAATTGAATTGAGAATTTATTAATTTACTTTATGTAGTGGTGTTTGTAAAATGAGTTTTTACATTAATGTATGACTCATTAACATTATCAAATCAACTGTCAAGAGTGTTAGTATTGAAGATACAATTTCATGTGGTTATGTGTTGATTTTGTATTTTTGAGGTATGAATTGTAACAAATTAACGCCAATTTTATATAACACGGATTAATTTTGAGTCAGAGTTTTATACATAACATGAGTGTTAAATATAAAGATTCACAAAAAAAGAAAAGTCAAAGAAAAATGAGGAATAACAATAAAATATAAAAGAATGACATTTTCATACGAAAAATGAAAGATTTTAACAATCAAACTATATCAACAAAAGAGTGTTGTCAATTTCTTTTATTAAGTAATGAAATAGAGTTAAAAAGAATAGGAATTTTAAGTAATTTCAAAGAATAAAACAAATAAATGGAAAATAAGTTAAAATGAGAAATAAATTTAATAAAAAAGTAGTAAAAAAAGATAGTTCAATTTAATTCAAATATTGATTAATAGAATGGTCAATCTTTAAAGTTCCTTGAGCTTTTAGGAATGAAATAGTACTAATCATTGATAATAATGTAGAATTTGTATTAAATTTAGGATAACAATCCCATAAAATATTTAATAAAGTATCACGTTGATATTGATTAGCTAAATTTCCAATACTTTCAATTAATTTAGTTAATTCAACATTAATTAATTGATCATTTAATTGTAATAAAGAAAGAATAATATTATGAAGAATATGAGAATCTTTACAAATACTTTCAACAAAAATTCTTTCTGAATCTTTATTTTTTTCTAAATCCTCAACAACTTTTTGACGTTCTTCAATAATTGTTTGAAGTTGAGTAATTCCATATTTAATTGGTTTTTCTCTAATAGTTTTATCTACATTAATTAAGAAAGAACTTCTAAGTAATTGTAATAATAAAATAATAATATTATTATGAAGATTCATTGAAAGAAGTTCAATCATCAATAAAAAGATTTCATTATCTTCTCTAATGTATTGTTGGAATAAATTTGGACGTTTAAATGAAGTTCTAATAATTTTATGTATTTCTTCTTTAAATTCATTTTCATTTTTAACTTCTTGTTTTTTAATAAGTTGGTTCATTATTTCAATAATCTTTGGAATAGATTGTTGATACATTTCTGAATCACTTTTTAAATGGAATGCATAAGCACCACCACCAAATTGATATAACATTCTTTTTCCTGAATATGAAATATTATGAAATTCATTTTTACTTACTAACTCTCTTATTGGTTCATTCCATATATTTTCATTATTTTCTTTAATTTCCATATCTCTTTTATAATTAAATAAATAATAAATAGTTGACATAATATTTTCAATAATTTTCATTTCAATACCATCAAACATTGATTCATTATTTTCACTAATTGGTTTTCTATGAATAATTCCTTTTTCTCCTTTACTTTCTGGTTTTAATTCACCATTAATAACTTTAGTATATTCTTTTTTAAATAATTGATAAAATTCATTTTCTATTCCTTTTTTATTTTTAATAATTGATTTAGCAATTGTTCTTGATAATGAAACTGATGGTTTAGGTAAAATACCTTGTTTAAATGAATAAATAGTATTAGTCAATTCATTCCGAGTATATTGTTGATAATATTCAATATCTAATGAACTTAATAAACAACTTATTAATTTAATAATAATAAATGAATTTTCTTCATTATTTTCTTTAATCATTTCTATCATTTTATCTATTAATGTATCAACATATTCTTCTTTTATAATATAATTCTTTTGAGTTATAATCCAATAAAATATAACTCCCATCATTCCAAATATATTATTCTTTTCTTTAATTTGATTCATTATTTCTAAAATACCATTAATAATTCCATAAATCATTTCATTCATTTCTATTGGTTCTCTTTCATCAATAATTTTATTAATTGCCATTTCTTTTGTTTCTGTAATTGTTTGTAATTTTTCTTCTTTTCCTTTATTTTTATTATTTACCATTACATTTAATGTTTCTTTGAGATTTTCAACATATTCAAATTCTATTTCTCCTCCTTTAACTTCAATTTGTTTTTCTACAGCAATAATTCTATTTTCTTGAATAATACTTCTAATAGTATATTCAATTTCTTTTAACCTTGGTTTCTTTTCTGTAAAATATTGACAAATTGTAATTAATGCCATTTCAGATAATTGATGTGGTAATAAAACAATTGTTTTAATAACTTCAAAATGTTGTTTATAATGATTTTTTGAAATTTCAATAATTTCAATATTTCTTAATAAAATTTTAATAAGAATACTAATAATACTTGGTTTTAATTCATTGTATTTATCAATAACATTATTACAGAAATTTGCAATAAACCTAGGATTACTAATAAGATATTTTAAAAGAATATTAGGTCGTTTATTTTGATTATCATAAATAAATAATAAACATTTATTCCATTCTTTATTATCATTTGAATTAATCATTTCTTCATTAATTTCTTTAAATCGTTCTATAATTTTTTGTTCTGTTTGTTCATCAACTGAAAGTAATTTTAATGTATCTTGACATGCTTTATTAATTCCTTTATATCCTTTGTTATATATTTCTTTAACTTTATTAATAATATCTTCTTTATATTCATCTCTATCTTTAGTACTTCTGGTAATATTATAAATTATTCCAATGATTTCAATTCCCATTTTAATACATTCTTCAAAAATATTATTTTCTTTTCCTTCTTTATTGTCTTCTTTTTTCATTTCTTCAATTACTTTTCTTTCTTCATAATTAAATTCTTCTTTACTTTCTCCATAAATTTCAATATCTTCAATTGAAATATTATCTTCTTCATTAATTGTAGAACAATAACTAATATTAATATTATCACTTGAAAGTGATTCTTTTTTTCTTAATTCAATATCATACCATCGTTCTCCTTCTCCAATTGGATAACTTCTTTCTTTAAAATTAATTTGTTTTGGTACTTTTTTTCCAACATAAATTTTAATTCCTCGAATAACTTCTTTTGTACATTTAATATTACAATGATATAATTGAATTCTACCTTCTGGAATAATAATTCTTTTAATATCTTCTTTTATTTCATATTCTTCTGGTTTAATATATTCTATTTTTTCAAAAAATCTTTGTTTATTTGATCTCATTGGTTTTAATTTATTAATTCGTTCAATTTCTTCTGTTTCTTTTAATCTAATAAGACTTCCATTACAAATACCAATAAATATTATTTGTTCTTTATTACTATAACAAATTCCTCCAATTTCTTCTTTTTCATATAATTTAATATAATTTAATCCATTATTCATAATTTTATATGATTTAATACTTTTATTCTCTTGACAATTACTAATCATTGTATTTTTACTTGTTTCAACAAAATATGTTGGTAATGTTTCAAATAGTGTTTCTACTTCATTACAACTTTCTCCTTTATTATTCAATTCAATTAAATAACTTTCTAATGTTTCTTTGCTTAATATTAATATATTTTCTCTTTCTAAATATTTCATTATAAATAATTCTTTCTCATGTTTTATTATAAATTCTTTTTGAATAATTTCTTCTTTATTATTTTCATCAAATGATTTAGGAATATCTTGATAAAACAATTCTGATTCAGTGGTACTAATAATAATTCTTCTTATAATTGGTGTTTTAATAATAACACTTGATAAAATTTCTCCTTGTGGAATTTTATAATCAATACTTGGTTCAATAATGGAACTATTATTTTCATTAATTTTATTGATTTCAAATATTTTAATTGAATTTCTTGTTGTAATTGCAATACGTTCTTTATCTATCCATTCAATACAACTAATAAAAACATCTTTATCTGTACTATCCATAACTAATTCAATTTGTTGTTCTTCTTCATTTTCTCCAATAATAATAATTTCTGCATTTCTATATCCATTAACTAATATCTTTTTATTCTCTTCTGGACAACAAATCATATTAATAATTTCAAATGGAACTTCAATAACATTATCCTCTTCATTATTTTCTATTCTTTCTATTCCTTTTAATGAAAGAAGTTTTTGAATATTATTCATTTCAATTTCATTTCCTTTTCTTACATAATAAAGTGTTTCATCATCACAACATATTAAATTTTGTTTAATAATTCCTTTAGATACCATTGGTACAATTCTCATATTTTGACTACTTTTCATTTTAAAATAACTTTTATCAATAAGTATACTTTCTTCATATCCAATACCAATTCCTTCATTTTGTAACATAACTTTATTTTTTAAAACATTTTGATTTCTATCTTTCTCTTCTTTATAATGTTCTTTTGTTTCTTCAATTCGTTCAATTAATTCTTTAATTAATTTAGGTATTGTATAATCTCTATTTAATGCTCTTAGAATAGCTTGTTGTTTTTTATCTTTAACTCCTTCATCATTACTACGTTTTTTATCTTTCTTTTTATCTTCTTCTTCTTTACATTCACATCCACAAATAGTAGTTATTTCACCAAGATAAATAGTGTCATGTCCTTCATGACAATTTTTAATACATGAATTACAACAATCAATATCACAAACATAACAATGATACATTGGTTGTTTAAATTCTTCAGTATATTCTTTTTTACTACATTTATCTTCTCTTTTAATTATATCATCATTTCCTTCTTCTTTTTTAATAAGATTTCTTGTTTCATTCTTTTTTTCTTTCTTTGGAATAATCATAATAATATGTTGAATTTCTTCAAGTAATGATGAAATACCTTCTATTTCTTTATAATTAAATTCTTTATATTCTTTATTTAATTTTTCTAACCAACCATTTAATGTATTAAGAATAGTAATAAATTCTCCATTTTCTAATGAATATTCTGTAATTACTTTAAAATATTTTCCAATATAATTTGGATATTTCTTAAATACTTCTTCAATACCTTGTGAAAATGCTTCAATAACTCCATTAACATTAACTTGTCCAGTAATAACATTAACTTTCATAATTGAATTAATAAATTTAAAAAATTGAATTGTAGTTGAACTTTCTGCAATTCTAAAGATATTATCATTGTCATTAAATCCAATAATATTTTGAATACCCCATTTTGAAAATATTTCTTTTCCATTTCCTTCAATAATTGTTTCTATTTCATCTTTAATAGTATTATTTCCATTACATAATTCAATTATATAATTCATAATTTCTTCATTAACTTCTTTATCTGTAATTTCTTTAGCACATTTAAAATATGTAATTAAATTTGGTTCTCTGTAATAATTTTTATGTTGATAATAATACATTTCACCTCCAACTTTTCCATGTTGTTTTTGAACTTCAATATCTTCAATAATTCTTTTCATTTCTTTAAAATATTCTCTAATATTTGGAATAACAATTTTATATTCTTCTTTCTTGCTTTGATATTCTATTAAGAAATCTTCTAAAAAGTCATCAATAAT